AAAGAGTGTTGGAAGGGTTGGCCTGAGTCCTGGGTTTGGTGGTGAATATCAAAGGGGACTTGAGCTGGGAAGTTGCCAGTGCCTTGCAAAAGGCAGAGTTAGGAATCCAGGGTCCCTTTGCCTGTGCTGAGGCTCTGGTCTAAATCTAGAGGCTTTGGAAGCTACCATGCATTCTTCTTACCTCCAGCTCTACGGCCGAGCTCCCACCCGCCGAGGCTGTGGATGCAGGGCCTGGTACCTTCCCTCAGGAGCCCCCTCTGGAGTCCCCAGGTGAGCCTTTCCAGGGCAGAAGGGCAGCTAAGAAGATAGTGAATGCTGAAGATGTGTGCATGATAGAGGTGGAGGTGAGCTGCAGTGTCTTGGGGTGAGGTGAGGGGACCTGCACATTGTGTGTGTCCACCATTCAGTAGCCCCGAGTCAACTCCCCACTTTCATGGGTAGTCATCCTCCTGTGCCTTCTTGTACTAGAATCACCCCTGGTGCTAACATCTGACCTGACTCCAGCCCCAACTCAACATAGTGAGGGTGCTCCAGGAAGAGCAGTGGCCCCAGCACTCTTCAGCCCCCCACCTGTCCAAAGGGCCAGCCTTCCATTTCCTTTCGGCCCTGTCCACACCCCTCAACTGATGCCTCTGCCAAAGGATGCCCCAGGCAGTGACAGCATCTACAAGGATGGCCCCTGTGGGTCCTGGGGCACCAGGTAAGAGCCTTTGTGGGGGAGAGGAGTCACCCATGTTATTTTGGGAGGAGATAGAAAGAGAAGAGATAGAGCCTGGGAGGGCAAAGGGTTTCCTGAGAAGAGCAAAGAGTAGTGTATGCACAAGGTGGGGATTGAAAGACTAAGTGAATTTTGGGTGGGAACGGTCTAGGATATTATAGCAACAGAACAGAGTGGGAAGCTCAAAGCAGAGCGAGGAAATGGAGAGGCAGCCATGGGTTGTGCACCTGGGGCCCTCATGGAGTTGGAGAGAGGAGATGGAAAGAGGAAGGCAAAGCCCCTTGCATCTCCCTAAACTTCTCTGTTCCCACAGCTTTAGCCCACCACCCATCTGCTCCTACTTGGAAGAGCTGGAACCTCAGGATTATCAACAGAGCAACCCACTGGGGCCCTTCCCATTCTCCCAGGCTCCCCAAACCCAGTTTTTCCAAGCCCCTCAACCACAGTGCTCATACCTGCCGCCCTTTCCCTTCCCCATGCCCAGCTCACAGATGCTTCTCCCACCAGAAGACTCACTCTTTGCTTTTCCTTGTGGCCCCAGTGGGGGTATGTCACAGGGCTATTGTCCAGGCCCCCTGTCAGGGCAAATCCCACTACAGCCACCTGCTGGGAATCTGGGTGAGTTGGACTGAAAGAGAAGGCCCCTCTTAGGGTTGAGGAAGGGGAGGAGGAACAACCTTGTCTTCTGGAGGGGAGACTGAAGTGGGGCCTGAATGGTGAGCCCACCCCTTTCACTTGCCCCTAATTCTCTTAAGCTTTTTCTTGAGTTTCTTGGAGGCTGCAGAGCAAAATAAGAATCAACAAGAGAGCTCCGAGTTTGGTATTAGGAAACCCAAGGGCTGAAGTCCAACTCAGCCAGTAGTAGCTCTCCTGAGACTCAGTCTCCTGGATTCTGAAATGGGAATAATAGTTTTCTGTCATGGAGGGAGTTAATGAGCTACAATGTTAGTGAAAATACTTGGCGTGGAGTAAATGGTCTCCTTGGACTCTGCAATCCTGGAAGCAACCCTCTCATTCAGACCAAAGTCTAGCAGCAGGGGAGGATAGACGGGTCCAGCTGGTATTCAGCTTTCCTCATTGCCTGCAGGTGGTAGCACTTGGCCTAACCCATGGTCCACCTTATGTCGATGTTACCAAATTGCAGGGTTCAAGTCCAGGACTACATCTGGTCTTGATGGGGGAGCCTGGGGTTAGACTTGCACTAGCATCCTAGATTGAATGGAGGGAGAGGGGACTCTGCTACAGAAAACATTGAATGATGGCTGATACTTGGTCCTGTCCAATCATTCTTCTACCCTTTGACTCCACAGGTACAGTCCCCTGGAGTGACCCTTGCCTACCAGAGCTGTCCTTCCCTGGTCCATTCTGCTCGCAAGCTCTGGGCCATGTCCCGGGTGGAGATGCCTACTTCTCTGACCTATTCCCGGCTCCCTGTGCTCAGAGTGTGAGCAGGCAGCCTTCCCCCAGTGTAACCCAGCTGCCCAGAGTGCCCGGAATAGGAACCAGGCCCTCACCCAGCACAGTGCAAGGGGAGCAGCTAGCCACTTCCCTGGAGCAACCCTCAACACCGGAGGAAGTCAGAGAGGAGGACAAAAGCAGCCATGTCCCCTACGTGGGGACTACAGACTGAAGAGAGACTGCTTGCCAGGACAGCACCTCGTACCCACTCAGGAGAGTGGTTGAAGGGTTGAGGGAGGCTGAGGACTCTGCTGACTGGGATAGGAGTCCAATGTTTACCTACAGTGGGGTTCTCTTGCTGGACATTGATTTGAGAAGAAAGGCTAACCCTTTTCTCCCACCCTTATATGGTGGTCCAAAACAAAGAGGATGACCTGTGTTACTTCTGGATGTTGTATGGGTTTATATTGTTTCCTTTGTTAGCTACACAGATGAGCCTGATTGTCTGCCATACGCAGTAAACTGCTCTAGCCTTGGCTGTCTCTGGTGTGTATGTCCCCCTCATACTGGTAAAGAGTCCCATCTCCATTTCTTCCCACTCAGCTCACCAGTTGCTGGGTGGAGTCCTCAGGTGGTCTCCATTGGGCACCAGCACTTGGAGCTTGGAAACTTCTGAGTCCAAGACCCTGTGTATCCCACAAAAAGAGCAATTGGGCATCTTGTGCTTTTTCTCTGGCCTTGTCATTAAACCATGTTCTCTTCTCAAACCCAGGATGACACCTGAGCAAATCTGAATTTGGGTCTTGTAGAGACAGGATCACAGAGGAGGAATGAGGATATTTTGGGTCAAGTCTTCAGTATTCCAATCTATGAGTCCCCCCCCAAAGCTATTTTTTGGCGGTATGAGTGAGCACATGAGGGGTGAAGAGCACTCAGAAGAGCACGGCGGAACGTTCTATCTGGCACATGAGTAATGCCTGGCATCTCCTGTCTCCACAGCATAGATGACCTCACTGAGCCAGGATGAGAGACCCAGGGTCTTTTCTGTCTCCTTGCTAAACACCTTGAGAGGTCACCTAAAATGATCACTGACCATTTCTTACTTAGATCTCATGCATGGACTGCAGTTCTATCTCTTCTATTATACTTACGGTTACCCTTTCACATTGGGTGCCCATCTACATAGCCATGGTGGGTTGAGTGATGGGAAGTGGTGGGAAACTAACCACTGATCTAGAATGCCTCATTGATGTCTGCAAGATGGCCAGAGGCTCCGGAAGGAATGGACCCCAATAAAGATCTGTCCATCTGTACCTCCCTCCTGTTCTGTTGCACGGAGGGGCCTTGCATCCACATTGAACTTGAACAGCTTTCTTTGTCCTTTTGTGGTGAACCAAATTAAAAAACTGACAAATCAAGCAGTGAAGAAGAAACATCCATGAGGCCTTACTGGTTCCATGCTTGAGATCCCACTTTAGTTTGTTAAGGACTAAGGGGTGACTGAGAAGAAGGGTGATTTATACAGTCGATTTGTACAAGAAGGAAACGGAGGTGGTGGTGCCTGGGAGATGGGTCTGGAAGGAGGGTAACTCAGTGGTAGAGACTGTATGACAATTTATGAAACATTGACCGGGAGATGGAAGAGGAAAATGGCCATAGAATAAAACCTATTCTGAACAAGTTTTAGTGGGAGAGGAAAAGTAGGGCATGTGTCTGAAGGTTGGGGAGAAAGGGACTCAAGGTTCTAGGATAAGAAAGAACAGGTCACAGGTCAGGAGAGGAATAAAAGAAAGAAGTGGAGAGGTGCCCTGTGAGGCAGAAAATGGAATGGAAAAGCAGAGAAAGCTAAAGGGATAGGAAGATGAATATGGAGAGGGGAAAGTTTATAAACATGAGCATTATTCTAATGCATGAACAAGGCAAACTCCTAGGGATTAAAGAGATGGGATGAAAGAATGGAGAGGAAGGCAAATGCAAGGCAGTGAGAAAACCACTTTGAAAGGACCCAGAATCTACTAGGGGATGCACACCGAGGGAAAGAAGTCAACCAGCATTGGGACCAGCAGTGGGCGAAACAGCTTTGTCACTGGACTCCCATGCAGTCAACCGCAGTTTGAGTCCCAGACCCGGTGGCTTAAACTCACTCCACGTGTGTGTGTGTGCGTGCCCAAGATCCTGAGAGGAGAATGGAGGAGAAGGGTTTGCGGCGTGGCCATCCACCCCGCCCGGGGGGGGTGATTTCTCACTTTCTGTCTGTCTGTCTCTGTCTTTCTGGCGAGAGTGAATGCCCTATAGCCAAAAACAAAAAACTCTCAAAAAAAAAAAAAAAAAAGGCGTGAAGGTTGACTTGGCTCACATGCGAAAAGAATAGCATGTGGGAGAACACAGGTAAAAGCACTTGCCAAGTGGAAGTGGGCACAAGGGCCATGCAGGGGAGAGGAGGAGGGAAGATAAAAAGGAATTTGGGGAGAGTAGGTGAGAGGGCACCATGATGATGAGGTCAAAAGGAAACACTGGGGAACTATGGAAACTCAAGTGAGACAGGCTTGGAGAAGATGGCGACATATGTGGCTGTAAGGACAAAGAAATGTTGATGGCCACAGGAAGACAGATGGGTACTCTCAACTCTATGTGTTATGGAAGACAGAAGGTTCCTCTCATGGAGAGAGAGTGAGGCGGATCCATAACTGAAAAGGGGTTGCTATGACTGTAATAAATAAGAGAGCACTCTCTTGTGACAGTAAGTCCACATCTAATGGAGAGAATGGATGGAACAGGCACAGGTGATCTGAGTGATATCAATGGAATTAAAAAAAATAATTTTTAAATTTTATTATTATTCTTTAATATGGCATGTATATGCACCAGAGAGAGAGAGAGAGAGAGAGAGAGAGAGAGAGAAAGTGAGAAAGCAAGCTACCAGGTCTGGAACTTGAACCATGGTCAGCCATATGGGAGTCCAGCACCTTAACCACTACACTACCTGCTGGCCCCTCAATGGCATTTCTAAAAGGAGCTGAAGAAATATTCCACTGGAAGTTGAGTGATGGGAAGAGAAATGCATATGGTTGAAGACCTAGACTGTAAAAGTAGTGCAGACCCAGTTCCTGTGTCTTGAAGGTATACAGCTGTGGCACTGGTTTACTTCGGTGACGGGGCTGTGATAGTCTAGGGGTGGGGTGAGGAGACGTAGTGTTATTTTTCCGTTATTAATTACACCTGCTATTTCCCTGAATCAAGTTACTATCCAATTAAATGTCTTGCTATGTGAAAATCATATAGGAAAGTATCTGACACAGAAAACACATGATAAAAGTTAGCACCGTTCTTCTTTTTCCATGTTTTTGAGCTATGATGTGACCTCACTATCTGGGGGTACATTTGGCATTCCACATATAATGGATGACAGCTTCCAAATAGGATTTCCGGGCGGTTGTTTCACATCACTTCACTGTTCACCTGGTATGTGTGTGAGTGTGCGTGTATGTGTGCATGTGTGCACATGTATGCATATAAAGGTTGGATATCATTCCTCATTCCAGACCTCCAAATGATGTGATCATTGGAAAGTACCCAGTAATTTTTTTTTTCAAAACTATAAGAAATGACTAACTTATATCCATTATAATAGTTCTGGGGTCATAGTTTATAAGAATGAAAAAGAACAATATTTGGAAATGGAAAAGAAACTTCTTAGTTACACAAATACTCACGTCTGTGTATCTGCATACATTTTTAGAGACCAAGTGTTCCACAGCTCTACTCTAGCATCGTAATTATCAACTCACACTGCCTCTAAACATTGTAACAGCTGGGATTCAATATCCTTAACTTAGTGATTAGGATGCGGACACTGAGGTACGAAATGTCTTGTATTATGATGCATAACTGAGTCTTTGAAAGTACACATTTCACATATATCTTTTTGTTTCTGCATTTTGTCTCATGAGATCCATGAAATGGGTAGCCTAAACACATTTATAAGGCGAGAAGAGGCATGAACTGTAATGGTTCTTTTCATTAGTAACTGCAACAGTTTTGTTGCTCTCAAAGCCCTGTCAAGAGCTGGAGCTGATTTTTATTGGTTCAGGCTCCTGCCACTCATTGTGAGTAGCACCACTGTGTGATGCAAATGTAGCGTCTGAAACCAAGAACTGAAGATTGGTCAATTTCAGGATTTGTCTTTACATGCAACTCTTAGCTGAGAAATATGGTCAGACAGTCTAATAGCATACTCAGAATAAAATGAGCCAATTGAGAGTTTAAAATGAGTGATAGATTGAACAAAGAGAAAATGGCAAAAACATTTTAGAAGCATGGAAGTGTAGAGGTAGAAGAAATTGCATGCTGCCAGGTCCAGGCTCCTGACTTGAAGGGATCGCCTCGTCACGGGCACTGATGGAACATCAGGCAGTCTTGATATTGCAGTGGGGGCCAGGGAGTGGGGTTAACTCCTTTACACAGGGCCTGTAGAATTTTTGAATGGATTGTTTTTCAGAAAGATTTTTGCTATAGGGCACAAGTGCTCACCAGCAAAACAGAGAGACAGAAAGCAAGACACACACACACACCACCACCACCAGGAGGATGGCCACGCCGCAATCCGTTCTCCTTCGTTCTCCTCTCAGGATTTTGGGCATGCACACACACGCACCAGAGTGAGTATCAAGCCATCAGGTCCAGGACTCAAACTGCAGTTGGCCACACGGGAGTCCAGTGTTGTAAACATTTTGTTGTAAACATTTCAAGGACCCGCTGGTCCCTTGAACGGTTTTTTTAAAATAAAATTCTTTCTTCTACTAGAAGGCAGTCACTATCTAGTTTAATTGACCTGAGTTTTGTTTTCCAAGTGTGTAAAGAGGCATGCCTCAAAGCCTTGCCTCCTACAGGGGATGTGGGAGCTCCTTCTGCCAGTCCTCCTGTGCTGTCTCCAGGCTCTCCACCATCCTGAATGCCTCCTTTCCACGAATATGAGTTTGTCAATGTTTCTTTCTAGGTGATGTCTGGACTGAAACTTTCTGTGAATGTGATCTAGTCAACTGTTGGGTGCAATGGGACTGTCACCTCCATCAGAGAGGATACTCTACTAATGATATTTCTGTTAGAAAAGAATTCACAACTTTTATTTTTGCAGTCAGTTAAATATTCTTGTTTCAAAAGTTATTGTTAACTATGACCTCTAGGTCTTTATGTTTTTTTTTTTTTTTAATAGAGGTTTCTGTCATAGGGCACATACACTCACTAGAGAAAGAGACAGAGACAATGAGAGGGAAAGTGAGAAATCACTCCCCAGGGGAGATGGCCATGCCTAAATCCCTTCTCCATTCTCCTGGTATCTTGGGCATACATGCACATGGGCCCAGTGTGATTTTCAGGCCACTGGGTCTGGGCCTCAAACTGGTTGGCAACATGGGAGTCCAGCAACATAACTGCTATGCCATCTGCTGGCCTC